ACTTTTCGGGAACGAAATATTCTTTCTTATGGAAAAAATCCCAGCGGCTTTGGCACAAGGCCACTTTGTCATATGAAGGTACCTGGAAGTCATCCTAGCCACTGCCTTAACGTATGCTAAACTTTCAAGTCACCTGTTTTGATGACTTTCTGCTTGTTAATTTTTTATCTCTTTATTTTTACAACTTTTTGCTGTAATTTCCTTTTTCAGCCGAAATGTAAGAGTAATTACAATTTTTACATATACTTTATTGCAGTATAACTGTAATAACTTTGTTAAATGCCCATATATCGTAGTTGTTGTTCTGTTTACTGTAATCTACGTTTTAATTTGCAGAAGAAGATGTAAAAAAAATCAATTGTGAATGACGGGTTAGTCAAGATGGAGGCCCGTGAAATGATAGGAGAAATAAAGAGTAAGGTTTTTGAGAATTAGACACAATATGTTTCTGCAATTTTTCCTTGTCATTCCTTCCTATTTCAGTTCAGTATCCGCAACTTTTTAAATAATATTTTTTAAAGTTTCCTCATATGATAAGAGGCTATATTTCTCTTAGAATTTCATGAGCCTCCGTCTCGGCTAACTTGTCGTTCACAATCGGTTTTTTTTTTATATTTTCTTAAACTACTCTTCACGTAGATTACAGTAATCAAAAACAACAACTACGATATACGGGCATTTGAAAAAATTATTACAGTTATACTACAAAAAAGTTTATGTAAAAATTAAATTTACTCTTACATTTTGGCTGAAAGAGGAAATTGAACCAAAAAATTTTAAACATAAAGAGATAAAACATTAAAAGACAGGTGCACAACAGGTAACAAGTCATGAACACAAGTGATTTTAAAGTTTAGCATACCTTAATGTGATGGCTAGAACAGCCTTCAAGTACCTCCATAAAACAAAATCGCCGGAGTTTTTTCCATAAGAAAGGATATTCTGTTCCCGAAAAATTTCACGTTAAATTAAAAATGAATTCCTCTCGCTCCCTCTCTCTCTCTCCCTATCTCTCTCTCTCTCTCT